CCTAGGTGAAATCTACAATAGATCATTGTCCACAGGAATTTTTCCAACGGTTTGGAAAACTAGTTTTGTAATCCCAATTTTTAGGAGTGGTGGCGATTACAGCATTGAGAATTACAGGCCAATTTCAAAAATTTCATATTTTCTAACATTCTTGAGTCAAATTGAGAAATTTACACAATTTTGCTGATGAAATGAAATTTTTTGTCACTATAAAAAATACCCATGACCGTGAAATCTTGCAAGGGGAACTCAACCATTTGTTCAGCTGGTGTTAAGACAATCATTTGGCACCAAACGTTGATAAGTGCAAAGTGGTGTCTTTCCATATATCTAAAAGCCCTATTATTTTCAACTACTCTATAATAGAACCGAACTTGATAGGGTTTATGTTATTATTAGAGATCTTGGCGTATTTCTAGATGTCGAATCGAGTTTTTCTGAACATATTGAAAGAATATCCAATAAAGCCATGCAATTATTGGGATTTTTAACACATAATTTGAGAGATTTCAATAGCATTTACACCTTAAGGAAAGCTTATTCAGCTATAGTTGGCCAAATTCTGGAGTATGCAAATCCTGTTTGGTCCCCCTTTTATGGTAAACATAAGTACCAACTGGGAAGGGTACAAGGAAGATTCCTGAAACATGTTGCATACAAACTGCCAACGTTTCGATACTGATCTGTGTCATGTTCAGAGCTAAAAACAAAAATAAAAAATCAAAGGACATAGTCCAGAAGGGAGGCGTTCCCCAAACGTTCAGTTTACAATTACATCAAGATACACAACACAAAAATAAAAAATTACATTCACCACCAAAAAACAAAAACAAACAATAATGGGATAAATAATATAAGTTGTCAAATGGGACTCACCCAGATTCTTATTATGATCTATTTTGAAAAACAGAATGTTACGTGGTGACGTTACTCTCTGCTGTCGCTGCTGCATCGGTACATACTAATTTGCAGTACCAGTAGCACCACACAACAAAAACAACTACACAAGCGACTACAGTAATGCCTCCCACTCACCAACAGTCCCAAATCTTAATAATAATATTTTTTGAACTGGACCTGACTGTAATTAAGAGTTACTTATTATATTATGGTAGATCACATTAAGATTTTGTGTGTCTGTGTTTAAGTTTACATTATGTTTTGTTCGAGGTTTTGTTTTATGAATATGGCACATTTCCACAAAAAGCCGCTTTCTCCAATTGGTTGCGGAGTCTGGAATTCTGATTTCGTCGAAATCAAAGGTATGCCCTTGCTCAAAATGATGTTTCGCCAATCCAGTATTGGGGTTCTCCATATTACTCAAGTTGCAGTCGCGCTTATGGTCAGAAACCCTACTTTTCAAATATTGTTTAGTTTGGCCAATATAGCAATACTGTAGTCGCTCTTGTAGTCGTTTTTATTTTGGTTCTGGTGTGGTGCTACTGGTACTGCAAATTAGTATGTACCTACCGATGCAGCAGCGACAGCAGAGAGTAACATCACCACCTAACATTCTGTTTTTCGAAATAGATCATAATATTAAACCATAAGAATCTGGGTGAGTCTCATTTGACGACTTATAGGCCAGGGCAGATAAATTTTTTCGTAACATAAAATTTAACAGCAAACTATCCATGCAGTATTGTTGAGGATCATTTATAGATGCTAGAAATCGAAAATGCAACATCTAATTAAATTTAGGAGATTTTATAAACAATATTTAGTGCAAAAATAGGGCTTTTTTTTGTTTATTTTTTTGTATTTCGAAAACTGATGATCGGATGGTTTTGCTACTGTGGCAATAGTTTTAGAGCATTGATCAAGCTTTAGAATGAGCCATCATACAACCCTGTAGGTCTTTTAGTCTTGGGAGAAATGATCCCCCCCCCCCCCCAAAAAGAGATTTTCGTAAAAAAATCCTAACTTTTTTTACACATACATAGTAGATGAGGCAGGGTTTATTGAGCCCAAATTTGGGCCCGGTCCGATGGGTCGTTTCGGCATAATACCATTGTCAAGCAAAATGCGGATGTTTCTAAAGCAGTCTGTCGAATTGAGGATAATTTTTTTATATTTATTTTCAAAAGTCCACTGATGAGACGAAATGCCAAACTATCGATCCTCTATCTCAGATTTTCCATTTAATTTTTCTATCGCAAGTAAAACGGCTTCGAACATGACTGAAAATGGAAAAAATCGGCGGGAATTCAAACAGAGTAGGCAGCGAGCTCCTCCCCGCCCACGCAAATTAAATTTTTTTTTCCATTTTCAGTGGTGCTGGAGCCGTTTTACTTGCGATAAAAAAATTAAATGGGAAATCTGAGATAAGTGAGATAGAGGATCGATAATTTGGCATTTCGACTCATCAGTGGACTTTTCAAAATAAATATAAAAAAATTATCCTCAATTCGACAGACTGCTTTAGAAACATCCCCATTTTGCTTGACAAGGGTATTATGCCGAAACGACCCATCGGACCGGGCCCAAATTTGGGCTCAATGAAGCCTGCCTCATCTACTATGTATGTGTAAAAAATTAATTGTCTAGCATGAAAATTTAAAAAGTTAGGAATTTTTTACAAAAATCTCTTTTTTGGGGGGAAAAATCATTTCTTGAAGACTAAAAGAACTACAGGGTTGTATGATGGCTCATTGTAAAGCTTGTTCAATGCTATAAAACTATTGCCGCAGTAGCAAAACCATCCGATCATTAGTTTTCGAAATACAGTGAAATAAACAAAAAAAGCCCTATTTTTGCACTAAATATTGTTTATAAAATCCCCTAAAAGTCATTAGATGTTGCATTTTTGGTTTTTAGCATCTATAAATGATCCTTAACAATACTGCATCGATAGTTTGCTGTTACATTTTATGTTAAAATATGGCTATTATTTTGCTAAGTGCCTTGGCCTTGGCCCTTGGTAAATGTAATTTTTTATTTTTGTGTTGTGTATCTTGATGTAATTGTAATCTGAACGTTTAGGGAACGCCTCCCTTTGCACTATGTCCTTTGATTTTTTATTTTTGTTTTTAGCCCTGAAGATGACAAAGATCAGTGTCGAAACGTTGGCTTGATTTGAATTTTTAATAAAAAACTGTCCAAAAAAGCTGATATTTATTTCACCCTAAATCTATTAATTATGATGATATCTTAAAACTTTTAAATATACAAAGAAGAGATCATCAGAACCTGTGCATTCTGTTCAAACTGGTGAAAAATATAACCCAGTCACCTCAGCTCTTATCTTTAGTTGGTTTTAATCTGAGGTTTTAATGTACCACATGACATAAGAAACAATAGACTATTTTATGTACAATATCATGATACAAATTATGGGTACAATTCTCCTATAACTAGATTTTTAGGACTGGCAAATGCTTTGACAAATAAATTGAATGTGAATCTTTTCAATATTGGACTAAAAGATTCCAGAAGAGAAATCAAATCGATATGATTGTTTCTGTCGCCATATGTTATGTCTATTTATTGTCAAGGTCATTTTAAACTTTTTATTATTGTTATTTTTTTTTTTTTTTAACATTAGACATTAGTCGCCTTCCCTACAGATTTTGGCATGGCATTAGTACAGAAGTTTGTGGAATAAATAGAATTCAACAAGTTAAAGCCTGAATGGTACCTCAAAAAACAGTTTGGTGCGTAATATCTGTTGAAAAAATTCATGGAACATTTTAATTTCAAAAAACCTATGAAAATAGGAACTGGTATCATTAATTTTTGATCAGGCAGATAATATTGCAGTTGTCCTAATGAAAATGGTAATAAATAATGAGTTTACAAAAGTACCAAGATTTTTATCCTTATTAAACCACGTAACACGTTAATCGCCATGACACCCTACATTTGGGTTTCAGAGCTAGTGGTCAACCAGGTTCTGAAACCTGTACGTAGGGTGTAACCATGCGCGTACACTTTAAAGCCTGTGACCCGGCTCTTGGGCTTCAAATAACATTGCAACATATGGAGTTTTTCTCAGAGGGGCCTGGGGGACCCTACTAACGTTTGAGCCTAGGATTTTTTGCCATATTTTTCTGTAGAACTAGATTTTATTGATTGTAGGTAAAGGCATGGATTACCAGAACAAATTTATTTATCTATGATAAACCAAAATAACGTATAAACTAAATGCTTACTCTATATATTTGTCACAGTCAAAAAACAGGACAGACAATAGAATAATTCACACTGTATGTAAGAAAATCTTGACTCGGGTCCTTTGCTTTGAGCTACTTTTCTGCCTTGTTCAGCACTTAATTTTCCATAGCAGGACACACATTTTCTACTATCTAATATTCATGCACATAGTAAACAAGCTTAGGCTTGTATCTTTGAACACCGCTAGTTGGGTTTTGGGGCTCACACCTAGAAGGGGCCCCGAAACCCAAAAGCCGGGTTTAATTTTCAAAGTAATATTTTCGGTTGCTTTTAGGTAACATATGGAAAAAAATACAAATATATGCGATTATTGTGTATTATTATTCATCAATTGAAGAAATAATTTTATCTGGGCCTGTCAAAACTTTTTTTTAGGTTCCATTTGGGCGATTAACGTGTTAAACTTGAAATTTTGTTACACTATGTACTTCATTTATTTAACATTGTGAGATAAAGGGTGTTCCCTTTTAAATAGGTAGTTGACAATTTCGATGCTGGAAAAACAGCAATTTTTCACTTGCTCTGTACGAGTGTCAAAACCAAGAGAAATTGAATGGTGCAAACTGCAAACTGCAGGTGGCTAGCACATTTATTTCAAAAGTTATTGGGACACCTTATGGTATATAAAATTCATAAAATCTGTTTTTTTTTTTAAGATAAAAGTCGAAATGACATTATGTTGGCAATACAATGTAAAATTGTCAATCTTTCAAATTTTTTGTGTAGAAAAGGCTTGTGCTGCCAACATAGTTACTAAATTTTTGAGCTGGGGAATTGTCTTTAAAAAAAAAACAGACTTTATTTTCAGTTAGTAGAGAGATACTTACTGGTACCAATGAATATCCTTATCACTTGTATGTCTATGCAGTAGATGAGATTTCAATTCATTGAAGCCAATGGTCTTGTAAGGACAATGTGGACATTGGAACATTGGAAATTCCTTCTGGTGACACCTGATAATATGTTTTTTCATTGCGGTTTTAGTCCTTTTGGCTGTGGTAGTAAATTTACAGTATGTACACTGATATTCATTATCCTTGATGACTGTATATTCATTAGGTGCTACAATGCGAATAATCCCTGCTGTTTTAGTGTTCAGTATTTTCCTCGGTATTTTCTGAGAACGAGCAAGAGAAGCATTTATGTATTTTGTTGTACTTGGATCATTGAAGATGACTGCTTCACCCATGTTTAAGTTTGTGTTGATATAAAACTGATCACGATCACAGTGGCTGTTTGCAATATTGTCTGAAAATAAAGGCAGGTAACTATCAATTTTTCTTATCGATCATGGTGCTAAACAAACCTTACCATTGTTTTGTTTTATGTCTTCACTACTATATTCATCAGTTCCATTATTATTATTATTATTATTATTAACTGCCTGCAGTTCTGTTTTATTTTCCTCGCCTCCATCTTCAGTACTACATATATCGTCTATGGTGATTTCAACACATTCTTTCGGCATTTCCAAATTCCACATGTGCGGTTCATCTTTCAAGTTTAAGCCCCCCTGCACCTGAATAAAATTTATACCTTTGTTGAAATCTGGATATGCTTCATTTTTTACTGCATCAGGTTCACTTTTTATAGCTTTAACGTCTGGAATTGGATCCATCTTACTAAATTTTAAATAATTCTGCTAGTACATTAATATTCAAGTAAAAATAAGAAATATACAATAACAATTATGGATATTCTAGCTATTTGCTACTTCAACATTAGGCAATGTTTCGCGAGGATTTATCAAACAAATAATATTATGCTCGATGTTATGGTTTCATACTCCCCTAACCTAACGCCCCCCCATACAATTCTTGGTTGGCCTGCGAGTGACGTCACTATCAGCAGATTATAGTGATGACGTCACCCGCAGACCTCGATGGAAGGCTTGCCATTCAGGACCGAGTTAAGAAATAACGCTAGGGCGTCGCATCGGTGTCGCACTCACACTGGGTGTGTCATTCAACTCGCCCCTGTGCATAAACGAGTACGCTTAGTTTGCGTTCAAAGAGCAGAGCGTGTTGGGCGGAGCCGTAATCACGTGATCAGCGAGAGAACCGAGCAGTTGAACGCTGTATCAGAGTTCCAGACATTTCAATAAAAAAACGCGAATGAGTCTGCACCGAGTACACTTTTTTGAATAAACGAACGGTAAATTCAAACTCAGAGAACTCTGATCCAAATACCGAAAGCACGGTGTGTCATTTTCTGTGTTGACCAATGTGTTGACTGCGTATTTTGCTGCTTATTGCTTAATTTTGGGAGTTTTGTCGGCCATATTTGACACATCGTTGAATTGCCAATAGACGATTTCGCCACGTTTTGGTTGGTAGGTAAATTGGTTAACTGCTAGGTAGGCTCTTCGTCACGCCAGTGACGTCGCATACCACTTTCAGCCGAAATCGGCCGGTTTGTCAAATGTCACGTGTATGACGTGTGGTGATGGTATGCCTGAGAAAATAAAAATAAACAAAATACTGAATACTTTTTATTGTTGGAAATTAAAATTGGGAATAGTGAAAATTAATTGTGTTTATTTGTTGTGTATAATTTCAAATATAAACAAAAAAGTGAGGTTAAATTACTCCAAAACAGAGAGAGATAGCAAGCTACCAATTCAAATAACCGTGCTCCAAGCTCGGTACCCAATTTGACATACCAAAATAGATACCAAAGTTATCGTGACGTCATTGTTTTTCGTGCCGAAATTGGTTGGTACATTTTTGACCAACCACAGTGGGTTACCAAAACGTGGCGAAATCGTCTAATAGCTAAAGTGGGCACTTTCTAAAATTCACCGGTTTCTGAACCGGTGCGATACCGGTTTATTAGTTTACTCACCAAACCGTTCCAAAATGTACCGACTTTTTACCGGTTGAACTGAATTGTGATCTGGGCTAGGATCACGACGAGTAGAGTTCTACTTTCATGACGTCAGCCGCCACCTATTTATCGCGTACAGTACTGGCGATATTTAGAAAGTTCTCGTGCCTCAGACGCTACGCTAATATGGTACCGCTAACAATACGGTTATTTTTTAAGAAAAAAAAAACAGAAAGATAAAAACATCAGTTTCATATGGTAGCATCAGAGATAAATACTATATAAAGTGTCGAGAATGGAATCTCAGTGTAAATTTTGTTGTCAACAAAATTGAGCCAAGCCAGCGCCATCTACCATATCGGAAAATCACTATTTACTGGTTTTGCATCGATGCTACAGACACCTACTTTACAAAGGACTTTTTATGATAGATGGCACCCTGTTCGCATTAGTGTCGGTCTGTTCAAATTCGTTTATTCTGCACTTTGGGGCATTAATGTTTGCTTAAATTAATTGATAATTTGTTAATTAGATCAAAAGACAGTTATCGATGGTTAAGGGTATCCTTAACATATTTATTCAAAGTTCTGATTAATGTTTAATTGAACCTGTCATTTATCTAATCAACAAAGATAAAAATAGATCTTCCAATCTATAAAGTTTGAAGTTCTTCTTGAAACACACAAAACAACTTTGAAATCACTTAAGAACACTTGACAACACAAAGAAAGATGAAATGCAAGACCGGCGAACAAAAAACATTATGAATTATTAGTTATGATCAAATGAATATTTTGGCATATTGTCATATGTTGACATGTCAGCAGAGATAAATATTATATAAACTGTCGAGAATGGAATCTCAGTGCAAATTTTGTTGTCAACAAAATTGAGCCAAGCCAGCGGCATCTACCATATTGGAAACTCACTATTTACTGGTTTTGCATCGACGCTACAGACACCTACTTTACATAGGGCTTCAAGGCATTTTTATGATAGATGGCGCCCTGTTCGCATTACACTAGGTCTGTTCAAATTTCTTTATTCTAGACTTTTGGACAATAATGTTTGCTTAAATTAATTGATGTTTTGTTAATTAGATCAAAAGACAGTCCTTTATCGAAGATTAAAGGATATCCTTAACATATTTATTCAAAATTCTGATTGATGTTTAATTGAACCTGTCATTAATCTAATCAACAAAGATGAAAATAGATTTTCCAATCTATAAAGTTTGAAGGTCTTCGTGAAACACACAAAACCACTTTGAAATCACTTAGAAAAACCAGTGTAAGAAAGTGAGGTTGTGTGTTGTGTAGGGTTGCCAGATTCCTGAGTTTTGAAAATAGGAGACCTTGTATAAAATTATATGAGATTGGATAATAATATATGAGAATATCTTATGTACTGCAAAATGCCCAAATCCGAAAAAGCCCCCATCTTGACACAGTGGCGCACCCCCAGAAAATATGTTTGGGGGGAGCCCTACATAGGCTGTGGCTTGTGACTGAAAATTGAGGTGTCAGGGTGCCACGCCCAAAATTTGCCACATTTTTTTATACGTAAAAATACAGTTTTGGAGGGGCGGCTTGGGAAGGGGCGCTGGCCCGATGGTTCCCCCCTGGATGCTTCACTGTCCAGGAAATCTGACAAACCTTGGAGAATAAAGATATTTTTTGAAATATCCAGAAGCTTTTGAGCTTTAACAAACTAAAGTTTTATTGAAAACAAACTAAAGATAGCGGAGTTACGAATTTTTCAATCCCAGAGAGACACTGTGATATTTTTACAATACAGACTATGACCTGATTTTAGATTTTTTCCTAGAAATCTAGGATACTTTGGAGAATGAAGAATTTTTTTATATATCCAGAAGCTTTTTAGCTTTAACATACTGAAATTTGATTGGAAAAAAACCAAAGATAGCGGAATTACGATGTTTTTAATCCCAAGGAGACACTAAAGTGATATTTCTACAATACAGATTATGTCCTGATGATTTTTGATTTTTTTTCCAGGAAATCTAGGAAACTTTGGAAAATGAAGAATTTTTTCATGAATCCAGAAGCCTTTTAGCTTTAACATAATAAAATTTCACTAGAAAAAAAAACAAAGATAGCGGCGTTACGATTTTATTAATTCCAGAGAGACACTAAGTGATATTTTTACATTACAGACTAAGGCCTGATTTTAGATTTTTTTTCCTAGAAATAGTGGAAATGTGGGATACCTGATGAGAATTTTTTATATTTCCAGAAGCCTTTTAGCTTTAACATACTTGAAATAGATTGGAAAAAAAACCAAAGATAGCGTTACGATTTTTTGATCTCAATGAGATATTAAGTAATATTTCTACAAAACAAGACTGTCCTGATTTTAGATTTTTTTCCTGGAAATCTAAGATACTTTGGAGATATTAGATTATAATATATCCAGACGCCTTTAAGTTCAAAAATACCAAAATTTGATTGGAAAACAATCAAAGATAGTGGAGTTACAATTTTTTTAATCCAAAAGAAAGACTGAATGATATTTTTGCCTTACAGTATATGGCCTGATTTTTGTTTTTGTTTCCTAGAAATCTGGAAAATGAAGAATTTTTTTATATATCCAGAAGCCTTTTACCTTTAACATAGGTACCAAAATTTGATTGGAAGAAAACCAAAGATAGCGGAGCTACGATTTTTTAATCTGTAAGAGACACTAAGTGATATTTTGACAATACAGATTATGGCCTTAAGGCGTCAGGGTACCACGCCCTGAAATTGCCACATTTTTTTATACCTACGTAAAAAAAGTTTTGCAGGGGCGGCCTGGGGGGGCCCTGGCCCGATGCCGCCCTCCCTGGGTGCGCCACTGTCTTGACAAATGGCTATGATTCATTCTCTTCATTCTTTTAGGTAGTTGGATGCACCTCCTGATCCGTCAGTCTCATTTCTTGTAACAAGTTGTGGACAAAGGACAACACTTTGAGTTTTTTGATGTTTAAACAAATCCCTGACCCAAAATCGTTTTGTTATTATTTTAATTTGGTCCGACGTTACAAAAAAGTTGAAAATATTCGGATAAAAAGTGGCGGGAAATTTTTCAGCCAATAGGAGCTTCGTCGTACCATCGGACGGTCGGATAATGGACGCATGACACTACAGCTTATTACGTGTACGGTAGTGATAATAGTGATATAGATGGTTCCTTTTTTTTTTTGAATAAAATATATGAGAAATAGTCTCATATTAAACATGCTAATATGAGATATGAGAAACAGTTAAAATATATGAGTCTCATATTAAAAATAGGAGGTCTGGCAACCCTAGTGTTGTGTTATGATTGTTGGTGAATTGTTTATTTATTCATTTATCACTAGTTCAGTCATTTGTTTTTCCATTTTTTTGGATTATTGAAGTACATTTACTAACCAAGTATGTAGGTACACTTTTATTTTATTATAATTATAGGTACCCATATACAGGGTGTCCCACGGTGGATGGCGTATTAGACGTTTATGGAGAACTAAAAAGCGGATCATTTTGAAAATTTGGCAACCGGGATAAACGACCATGATCTACACTTTAAAAATATTTTTGACCATGCGGTGTTGCCGCTTCTACTCTAAACTAGTGGCAACATCACTATTTTAAATGGAACACCCGGTATTAAATTACATATTTGGATTCTACGTAAAATTCTAAGCAGATTTCATGTGATATACCCTATACCTAAGTTCAACTGTTTTGGAAATATTCACAGTTGAAAATTGACTTTTTGCAACTTTGACAGGCTGTAGAACCTGAACGGTTAATTTTAGAGAAAAACCGATTTTACATTCCTGTCTTAGATTTTTATAAAATATCATTTGACACCAACTTAGAATTAAATCCATGATTAAAAATTTCAGTTAAATTTAATCTCTGGTTAAGTTCA